CAGAAATAACCTTTTCCCCTAGAAATAACTTTTTCCCCCGAAATAACCTTTTCCCCCAGAAATAACTTTTTCCCCCGAAATAACCTTTTCCCTCAGAAATAACTTTTCCCCCCGAAATAACTTTTTCCCCCAGAAATAACTTTTTCCCTCCGAAATAACTTTTTCCCCCAGAAATAACTTTTTCCCCCAGAAATAACTTTTTCCCCCCAGAAATAACCTTTTCCCCCCAGAAATAACTTTTTCCCCCAGAAATAACTTTTCCCCCAGAAATAACCTTTTCCCCCAGAAATAACTTTTCCCCCAGAAATAACCTTTTCCCCAAGAAATAACTTTTCCCCCCAGAAATAACCTTTTCCCCCAGAAATAACTTTCCCCCCAGAAATAACCTTTTCCCCCGAAATAACTTTTTCCCCCAGAAATAACTTTTTCCCCCAGAAATAACTTTTCCCCCCAGAAATAACTTTTTCCCCCAGAAATAACTTTTTCCCCCAGAAATAACTTTTCCCCCCAGAAATAACTTTTCCCCCCGAAATAACTTTTCCCCCCAGAAATAACTTTTTCCCCCAGAAATAACTTTTTCCCCAAGAAATAACTTTTTCCCCCAGAAATAACCTTTTTCCCCCAGAAATAAATTTTCCCCCCAGAAATAACCTTTTTCCCCAAGAAATAACTTTTTCCCCCAGAAATAACCTTTTTCTCCCAGAAATAACTTTTCCCCCAGAAATAACTTTTCTCCCCAGAAATAACTTTTTCCCCCAGAAATAACTTTTTCCCCCAGAAATAACTTTTTCCCCCAGAAATAACCTTTTCCCCCAGAAATAACTTTTTCCCCCAGAAATAACTTTTTCCCCAAGAAATAACTTTTTCCCCCAGAAATAACCTTTTCCCCCCAGAAATAACTTTTCCCCCAGAAATAACCTTTTTCCCCCAGAAATAACTTTTTCCCCAAGAAATAACTTTTTCCCCCAGAAATAACCTTTTCCCCCCAGAAATAACCTTTTCCCCCAGAAATAACCTTTTCCCCCCAGAAATAACCTTTTCCCCCAGAAATAACCTTTTCTCCCAGAAATAACCTTTTTCCCCCAGAAATAACCTTTTTCTCCCAGAAATAACCTTTTCCCCCAGAAATAACTTTTCTCCCCAGAAATAACTTTTTCCCCAGAAATAACTTTTCCCCCAGATATAACCTTTTCCCCCAGAAATAACTTTTCCCCCAGATATAACCTTTTCCCCCAGAAATAACTTTTCCCCCAGATATAACCTATTCCCCAAGAAATAACTTTTTCCCAAAGAAATAACTTTTCCCCCAGAAATAACCTTTTCCCCCAGAAATAACCTTTTCCCCCAGAAATAACCTTTTCCCCCAGAAATAACTTTTTTCTCAGAACATACTGTACTTGATTTCCGGCCGCCGGATAGCTCAGTGTATAGATCTGTCGGCCCATATGCGGTTACCAGAGCCGGCCGAATATGTCAGGCAATCAGTCCTCCCTTCAGTCTCCCCTTTTCAAGTCAAAGATCTCCACTAAAGCCTTCAGGCCCAAAAAATAATACAAAAATAAGAATATACTTTTTTCTCAGAATTGACTTAATTTTCAGAATTCATGAAGGAAGAAGTTGGGTTAGGAGAGGAGACAAACAGATGAGGAGTAAGTGAGGAATAAAGCAATGAAGCAAAGGGGATTGAAGGAGAGAGGAGAAAGAGGGCGAAGGTTTAAAAAGGGCAACGAAAGAGAACAAAGTGAAAGGATAAAGACAACCAATGAGAGGAGAGAGGAAATAGTGAGGAGAAGTTTGAGGAGGAAGAACTGCAGGAATCCAGAACAGAAGTCTTGAACCCGACAGGAACCACGAGCTTCTAATTCTTTCCCGAGAAACTCACGACTTCTCGTCAGATGAACGTTCCTTCAGTTTTCTTTAAAGAGGCCAATCCTGTGGTTTTCCATGTTGTAGCTCATTAGCTTCACATTAAAGAGTACAGCAGGACTTTTTCCAACATCTACCACACTGTCTCTGCTGCTTTATTAAAGGACTGTCGTTAGTTTTCTACACAATGACAGTCCAGTCTTCAACTAGGGAAAGAAACTAAAGGACATCTCACAAATGTACACGTTATGTGCGGGGAGTGAGGCGGTCATCATGGGTAGAAGAACACCCGGCAGGCTGATCCGCTTATCACACGGCCACATTCTCAACAAAGTAACGACATGACTCCCAATATTAATTGAAATGCTTTTTATAGATTTAGAAAATGTTTTTATTGATTTAAAAAATAGTATTATTGATTTAAAGTGACATGCATCCGCTAAGAAAAATAGTCCGTTGTTACCGTTTGAACTACGTAGCAGGAACTGCTTCGAAAGCGTTTTTGAGGAGCTTTTTGATTACAGATTTGAAAACATCGCTGCTTGCTTTAAAAGTAGCACAATTCATTAAGTCAAACCTTGGGAAGTATCTAGATATCCCTGCCCTAAAGCCAAAGGAACTGCACACTGAATATGTCTCGCCGTTTGATGTCTATGTCAAAAGGAGGGTTTCTGCCCCGTTACTTCTCCGCTGTTTTCTTGTCCCTCTTGTCTTTTTCAAGCAAACAGTTCGAAAAGCAAACTGCATACAGTTCAATCGACCGGACTTCTTTCTGCAGATGTGAGCGTCCTTAACAACGCTCAATAAGTCCTTGACAGCGGTCTGCACTACTGGATTAACAACGTGTGCTGAATTGACCAATCAGAATCGAGTATTCAACTAAGCCATGTAATACATCTGGTTAATTAATAATATACACAAACCTAAGTCCAATCCACTCCATGCTACACCTTTCCACTCATTTTGATCAAATTGAGACGGTATTATTTTATATCTACTGTATATTTTCTACTTTTAGATGTTGTTTTAATTCTATTTCGAGAAGTTTAAATTATAGTATTGTTTATTTCAACTCTTTCATTTCTACCATTGTGCAATGTCTTTTTTGTTGTTGTTTTTTATGTTTTCCCAATTTGGGATCAATAAAGTATTTCCTATCTTATTATCTTATCATTTCTACACAAGACCCTGAAAACAGCTTCAAATCTTACACATTCATTATTCATGCTACTCAGCCTCCCCGGGAAAGTTTACTCTAAGGTACTCGAAAGGAGGGTCAGGCCGATTGTCGAACCTCAGATTGAGGAGGAACAATGCGGATTCCGTCCTGGTCGTGGAACGACGGATCAGCTTTTTACTCTCGCAAGGATCCTGGAGGGGGCCTGGGAGTACGCTTATCCGGTCTGCATGTGTTTTGTAGACTTGGAGAAGGCGTATGACCAAGTTCCCAGGGAGTTACTGTGGGAGGTGCTGCGGGAGTATGGGGTGAGGGGGTCTCTACTCAGGGCCATCCAATCTCTTTACTCCCAAAGCGAGAGCTGTGTCCGGGTCCTCGGCAGTAAGTCGGACCCATTTCCGGTGAGGGTTGGCCTCCGCCAGGGCTGCGCTTTGTCACCAATCCTGTTTGTAATATACATGGATCGGATTTCGAGGTGTAGTCATGGGGGAGGGGGTCTGCATTTCGGTGGACTAAGGATTGCACCACTGCTTTTTGCAGTTGATGTGGTTCTTATGGCTTCATCGGTCTGCGACCTTCAGCACTCACTGGATCGGTTCGCAACCGAGTGTGAAGCGGCTGGGATGAGGATCAGCACCTCCAAATCTGAGGCCATGGTTCTCAGCAGGAAACCGATGGACTGTCCACTCCAAGTAGGGAATGAGTCCTTACCCCAAGTGAAGGAGTTCAAGTATCTCGGGGTCTTGTTCTCGAGTGAGGGAACAATGGAGCGTGAGATGGGCCGGAGAATCGGAGCAGCGGGAGCGGTACTGCAGTCGCTTTACCGCACCGTTGTGACGAAAAGGGAGCTGAACCAGAAGGCAAAGCTCTCTGTCTTCCGGGCCATTTTCGTTCCTACCCTCACCTATGGTCATGAAGGATGGGTCATGACCGAAAGAACGAGATCGCGGATACAAGCGGCCGAGATGGGTTTTCTCCGCAGGGTGGCTGGTGTCTCCCTTAGGGATAAGGTGAGAAGTTCAGTCATCAGGGAGGGACTCGGAGTTGAGCCGCTCCTCCTTCGCGTCGAAAGGAGCCAGTTGAGGTGGTTCGGGCACCTAGTTAGGATGCCACCTGGGCGCCTCCCTAGGGAGGTGTTCCAGGCACGTCCAGCTGGGAAGAGACCAAGGGGTAGACCTAGGACCAGGTGGAGGGATTATATCTCTTCGCTGGCCTGGGAGCGCCTTGGGACCCCCCAGTCAGAGCTGGTTGATGTCGCCAGGGAAAAGAAAGTTTGGGGCTCTCTGCTGGAACTGATACCCCCGAGACCCGACCACGGATAAGCGGGAGAAGATGGATGGATGGAATACAATACAAAAGGAATATCGTCTTTGTGTGTGAGTCCTCATCTATGTGGATAATCTGTGTGTTTTAATGTCTGTGTAAGTGTGTGTTCTTGACGTTCTTGTCAGTGATTAGGTCGACTGGGAAATAGTTTCCATGTTCCTGCTTAAAGAATAAAGAAAGGAAGAAGAGGAAACTAAAAGTCTTAAATCTAAGAAAGGAGCGCCAGAGGAAAAAGGCGAGCGAGCGCTAATGATTGGTGACGAGCGCGGGGTCTCGTGGTCGCCATGGTAACCACCGACCACAGAGAGGGTTGCCATGTCATCATGTCAAGACATGTTTATTCATGCTGCACACACACACTCTCACACACACACACACACACTCTCACACACACACAGACACACACACACACACACACACACACACACACACACACACACACACACACACCAAAAGCATGTTTTTTGGGAATCTTATAGTTACATTTTAGGGAGTGTCTATTAGAAAATAGACACACGGCAGCTATTCAGCTTACATACTCAGAACTCTCAGAACTTCTTTCCGACTGTTGTGGCAGATTAATTTACCCACTTTCATTTTCCTTTTTATTTATTGTAAGAATGGATTTTACCTGTTCAGGTACGAGTGGCTCCTGGTCATCGATGTCAATGAAAACATCCCCAGAAAACTGTGGCGTTTGGCCTGAAAACACACAGCAAAAAGACCATTAGACTTTCTTCAGTACATGCTTTACACCTCCATCCCTCCTCTTCCTCCGACGCTCCTTATTCTCAGAATTTGGACTTTTCTCAGATTTCTTACCTTTTTCCTCAGAATTGACTTTTATTTCAGTTTTCTGACCTTTTCTCATAAATTTGACTTTTTTCTCACAAATATGACTTTTTTTCTCTGAATTTTGAATTTCTTCTCAGAGTTTTGACTTTTTTCCCATAATCGACCTTTTTCTCACACATTTTTACTTTTTTCTCAAAATTGACATTTTTCTCATATTTAACTTTTTCCTCTGAATTTTTACTTTTTTCTAAGATTCACTTTCTCTCAGAACTCAGAAGTTTTAACATTGATAATTGTATTTCCTCTTTAGTACATGTGCTTGTATTCATGCATGTCTCACGTCTCCATCCCTCCTCTTCCTCCGACGCTCCTTATTTCTCAGGATTTACTTGTTTCCTATGAAATTACATTACATTTTTTCTTAGAATAGATTTTTTTTTTTACAGAATGGATTTTTTCTCACAAATTTGACTTTTTTCTCAGAACTTTGACTTTTTCTCAAAATTCTTACTCTTTCCTCAGTGTTAACTATTTCCTCAGAATTGACTTTTATTACAGATTTCTGACTTTTTCCTCAGAATTTAGAAATGTTTCTCATGATTGAGAAATTTGGCTATTTCCGCTGAATTTTGACTTTTTTCTAAGATTCACGTTTTCTCTCAGAACTTTGAAATTGACTGTTGTTTTTTTGTCTTTAGTGAATGTGTTTGTCTTACGTCTCCACCCCTCCTCTTCCTCCTCCTCTTCCTCCTCCTCCTCCTCCTCCAGGCTGCAGCGATAGTCCTCCAGAGAGCGGATGGTGCACTGCCCGACCACCGGCTTCCTCCCAAACTGACGGTTATCGATCACTTTGATAACGATGGGCGGCATGTAGAGCTCCTCACAGGGAAGCCTCTGGAGAGAGGGAATATTTAAAGATAGGTTCATTAGCATAGGCTATGACAGAACTGTAGTCCCACTTTGTTATCTATTATACTATATATATATATACTATTTTAATAATTTAACTTTTTTATAATTTGTTTTAATCATTATTAATATTATTTTATATGTGTTTATTTATTTTTATTATAGTTTTTTCGATTTTTTTTAAATGTTTTTTCATTATTTAATTTAATTATTTATTTATTTGTGGTTTAACTTTTACAAAAATGATTATTACTAATACAAATGTTTTTACTAATCTGTGTATTTTTATTAAATCTGTTAAAAATCATGTTGGATATATGAACAAAAAAAGCAAAGCATAAAACATAAAGGAGATGGAAACATAAGACGAGTAAAGAAAACATCCTCTGACCTACGCCTGACTCTAATTGGCTACGCCACCTGCACGCCTGATGCTGATTGGCTATGGCTGCTGAATGTCTGAAGCTGATTGGTCATGGTTTGGTGACAGGCCAATCAGGGAGCAAACTTTAAATCCTGACCCCTCCCACGAAAGGGAAGAGATTAGATCTTTGTGATGGAAATCAGGCACTCATTTTAAATCTCAGTTTATGATTTAAAGTAAATGTTTACGTGTTTAAGTGACACCAGGGGGGTATACTACGAAGCAGGATTTTCGCTTAGCCGGCTAAATTCAGGGAAAACTCCGGCTTTCCGGTCCTACGATGCTGGTTCTCTTTTTAGCGGCTAGATCTCCATGGTAATTTATGCTGAGCGGCTAACCTGGTCGGGACCAGGTTAGGTTGCAGGCTAAGAGCTCAACTCAGTGAAAGCACCGCCTGCTGACCAATCAGAGCTCAGTGTGCAGAGTTTAAAGCGATCAAGTCAGATTACAGGAGAAAGGAAATACAGAAAAACTGCCGTCGCAGGAAAGACGGCCGGCAAAAATCACCGACTGTGTGAACGTGAACATTAATAGAATATCACCTCCATCTTCAGAGCAATCTGACTATTATAACATTAGCGTTAAGAAAGCTTACTTAAATATCTGCCACGACATAACGGATCAGAGTAACATTAAGTATGCCTACAGTCCGCGGCATATCACTTCATAATGTATCATATATCTCCTTATCTGAGTCAGCTGAGCCGTATCTGGCCGTGCAACACTCACAGTGTCACAGACTGTATGCAGAAGAAGTATTATTTTAAGCAACACATTAAGTTGAGGAAACACTCGAGTCAAATGTAATTAAAGTCAGATGGTGTGTTAGACGGGCAGTGATATCATAAACCTGTTAATGTACGCATTCAAACACTTGTTCTTTTGCCAGCTGTATTCACCTTGCAGGTGCAGCTCTGTGGCTTTGATCCTGGATCAAGCGTTTAAGTCATGGATGTTTAAAGTTTAACTTCTTCATTTTTGACTAGTATTAAAGTTCACTTTTCATTCAGGAAGTATGACGCTGCGCTGTCAGTGCGCTTCTCCATGTTTGTGATTGGTCGAATGCTCCAGATACCACCCCTTTCATGTGAACGCGCACCTAACTAGATAGGAAACGGCTGGCTTGAGCGATCCACTTGATAACCAGCGTCGTAGGACAGCTTAGCGAGAGCGCGTATGTTTTGGATTAGGCCAACCGGCTAACTCAAACATATCCAGGTTAGGTTGAACCAGTTTCGTCGTACAGGCCTCTGGACAAATAAATGACAACATGGCTTACATATTTTTGCAAAGACACGCTATACATCCACTGACTGCGCTCAAATGTCACTACGAGAAAAGGAAAGAACAACATAAATAATAATAATGAAAAATATATAAAAAATAATCACAACAATAATAAATTAAATTAATTAATAATACTATAAAATAATAGGGAAAATAATATTGTTATTAATCTCTGTATAGAAATGCCAAATGTCCAGCAGAAACAGGCGAGAGCGACTCTTTTTACCAGGCCGCTTTTCCACGTTGTCTAAAACAGCGGTTCCCAACCTGTGGGCCGCGGCCCACTAGTGGTCCGCGAAGGCATTGCAAGTGGGCCGCCAAATAATTTGCAAAACATTATGATTTGTGTGGATTTCATTATTAAGATTTTTTTTTATTTAACCTCTTTTCCTTTCTCTTTCTTGATCGTCCTTAGCAACGGTCATTACAGTCCTTGACAGCGGTCTGTTCTACTGGATTAACAATGTGTCACATGTTCTGAATTGACCAATCAGAATCGAGTATTCAACTAAACCGTGTAATACGCATGTCTGCTTGTTACTGATGGCCAGCTCCTTTTCTAATTAAAATAAAAAGTACTCAGAGAACTTTATTAACCTCCGTATTGTTTATGGTTGAATGTGGGCCGCGAAGATTTTTTAGATTCTTAAGTGGGGGCTGAACGATTAATCGATTTTAAATCGAAATTGCGATTTTAAATGATTTTTTGTTGTTGTATATTTTGTTCTTCTTGTGTGTCGGTCATCCACACCAATCAGAAGTGCTGTGCTCCACATGTACCAGCCATTGTTAACCAATCAGAAGTGGCCCATGATAGAAGGTGATAGACAGATTGATCCAATCACCTGCCAAGTATTCTTGAAATACTTTTCCAAATGGCTTCCAATGGAGCTTTAGATGGTTTCTGAGTCAGGTTAGTAATGCTCCATCACATGTTTCTATCACAGGGTGAATCTTAAACTGAAGCTTGACTTTAAAGCAACGGAAGTTTCATGTAAGTTTAGTTCTGTCACTCGTAGCTCGGGCTGCGGGGTGCTAGAGACGGGAGCACGTTGATGCGACCTTCCTAGCCGGAGATATGGCCGCATTTTACAATAAACTTCCGTTGAGTCGCTTAAAAACAAATATCGCAAATCGAATCGCAATATCTGTCAGAAAAATCGCAATTAGATTATTTCCCCAAATCGTGCAGCCCTAACCCTGAGTTGAAAAAGGTTGGGAACCGCTGGTCCAAAATATATAAAGACACACTGTGAAACCACTGGCTGTCATCGAATGTCACCACTACTTGACAATTTAAATTGTTATTATTATTCAGCGTGCAGAAAGGCCACATGTCAACCAGAAAAAGGCCAGTTTTACTTAGCTTATGGAAATGTGTGCACATCAATGGTGAGCTATTTTGCCAGACCGGCTCAAGGGGAAAAATAAAGTTTGTTACTGAAATCCATTTGATCCCTGTGGCTTTCAAAAGGCTTAATTTGGGGCTAACGATGTTAAACTCACAATAAACTAAGCGACTATTAGTGTCTTCAAAGAGGAAAGTATGCACATGGCATTTTCTTTAACCCCCTGACATACGAAAACACTCACGCACTCAACTTTAGACCTTAATAATGTTAACAGTAAATGCTTGGAGCTGAGTTTAAGGGAAAATATGTGCATATTTCCACCGTTCTGTGGGGGCCGTCAACACAGGACCTTAATCTTGTTAACATTAAAGTGCCGGAGCCAGAGCAGGGATATGTATCTGAGGGGAACATATGTGAATATTTCCGTACTGCAATTAAAGCTGTCATAATAAAACACAGAGGTGATCAACTTCATATTGTTAACAGTAAACTCTGTGAGGGAAAGCATGAGTAATATTTTAGGTTTAACAGGAAAACACCTTAAATGTAATGGCACTAATATAAACTCAGAGGATTTACAATCACAAAGGACATTTCTACATTTGAAGAACATAAAACATGTTTTTTTATATAATATCCACTCGGAGTTTAACAAAAAGTCAAATTAGACATACAAGTATTTTAGCCTATGATCATTCCCAACATCAAATCAAATCATAGTACATAAGTTATTTGATCAATATTGTAGTCTTAAAATCAATGGATGTCGTCTGGATTAATGTCCATTTGATTGATTGTAACTTAATGTATGACTTCGCCCTGCAGTGACATCCATTTTAAAAGCATCCAGTGTAGTTGTAGCGCTCGATCCTGCAGAAATGTCCCTTTTCGATGGAAGAAAACATGAAGGAAGCGTCTAAAATAAGTGATTTCTATAACTCAGAATGACTGCTTTGATGCCTGTGGAGGAGGTTACTACTTTTCCAGAAGCAGAGAAGGACCAGAAGAGTTCATTATTGCTGCTTCACTGATGAAGAATGATGACCGACGCTAACCACATCACAGCAGAACTCTCATTAGCTCTGAGGCTACGCTCTGATTGCATCTGTTTCACGAGTACAGTGTGTACAGCAGTGTGTACTCAGTGTGTACTCAGTATGTACAGCAGTGTGTACTCAGTGTGTACAGCAGTGTGTATTACAGTGTGTATTGCAGTGTGTACTCAGTGTGTACTCAGTGTGTACAGTACAGTGTGTGTTCAGTGTGTAAAGTAAGTATTCAGTGTGTACGTGTGTATACAGTGTGTACAGTACAGTGTGTATACAGTGTGTACAGTGTGTATACAGTGTGTACAGTACAGTGTGTATTCAGTGTGTACTCAGTGTGTACAGTACAGTGTGTGTTCAGTTTGTAAAGTAAGTATTCAGTGTGTACAGTGTGTACAGTGTGTATTACGTGTGTACTGCAGTGTGTACTCATGGTGGTACACAGTGGTGTATTACTTCAGTGTGTACTCAGTGTGTACAGCAGTGTGTATTGCAGTATGTACTCAGTGTGTACAGCAGTGTGTATTACAGTGTGTACTCAGTGTGTACAGTACAGTGTATGTTCAGTGTGTAAAGTAAGTATTCAGTGTGTACAGTGTGTATAGATTGTGTACAGTACCATTTGTATTCAGTACAGTGTGTATACAGTGTGTACAGTACAGTGTGTTCAGTACCGTTTGTATTCTGTACAGTGTGTATACAGTACAGTACAGTAGTGTGTATACACTGTGTACAGTACAGTGTATACACTGTGTACAGTACAGTGTACATACAGTACAGTGTGTATACAGTGTGTACAGTACAGTGTGTATACAGTACAGTGTGTATACAGTGTGTACAGTACAGTGTGTACAGTACAGTGTGTATACAGTACAGTGTGTACACAGTATAGTGTGTATACAGTATAGTGTGTATACAGTACAGTGTGTATACAGTATAGTGTGTATACAGTACAGTGTGTATACAGTGTGTACAGTACAGTGTGTATACAGTATAGTGTGTATACAGTGTGTATACAGTGTGTATACAGTGTGTATACAGTGTGTATACAGTATAGTGTGTATATAGTGTGTATAGTGTGTATACAGTGTGTATTCAGTGTGTTCAGTACAGTGTGTATACAGTATAGTGTGTATACAGTATAGTGTGTATACAGTACAGTGTGTATACAGTATAGTGTGTATACAGTACAGTGTGTATACAGTATAGTGTGTATACAGTGTGTATTCAGTGTGTACAGTACAGTGTGTATACAGTATAGTGTGTATACAGTATAGTGTGTATACAGTACAGTGTGTATACAGTACAGTGTGTATACAGTATAGTGTGTATACAGTACAGTGTGTATACAGTATAGTGTGTATACAGTACAGTGTGTATACAGTGTGTATACAGTGTGTATTCAGTGTGTACAGTACAGTGTGTATACAGTATAGTGTGTATACAGTACAGTGTGTATACAGTATAGTGTGTATTCAGTGTGTATTCAGTGTGTACAGTACAGTGTGTACAGTACAGTGTGTATACAGTACAGTGTGTATACAGTGTGTACAGTACAGTGTGTATACAGTACAGTGTGTATTCAGTGTGTATTCAGTGTGTACAGTACAGTGTGTACAGTACAGTGTGTATACAGTATAGTGTGTATACAGTACAGTGTGTATACAGTATAGTGTGTATACAGTACAGTGTGTATACAGTGTATACAGTATAGTGTGTATACAGTACAGTGTGTGTACAGTACAGTGTGTATACAGTACAGTGTGTATACAGTACAGTGTGTGTACAGTACAGTGTGTGTACAGTACAGTGTGTACAGTACAGTGTGTATACAGTACAGTGTGTATACAGTACAGTGTGTATTCAGTGTGTATTCAGTGTGTACAGTACAGTGTGTACAGTACAGTGTGTATACAGTACAGTGTGTGTACAGTACAGTGTGTGTACAGTACAGTGTGTATACAGTACAGTGTGTACAGTACAGTGTGTATACAGTACAGTGTGTATTCAGTGTGTATTCAGTGTGTACAGTACAGTGTGTACAGTACAGTGTGTATACAGTACAGTGTGTATACAGTACAGTGTGTATACAGTGTGTACAGTACAGTGTGTATACAGTACAGTGTGTATACAGTACAGTGTGTGTACAGTACAGTGTGTGTACAGTACAGTGTGTATACAGTACAGTGTGTGTACAGTACAGTGTGTACAGTACAGTGTGTACAGTACAGTGTATACAGTACAGTGTACATACAGTACAGTGTGTATACAGTGTGTACAGTACAGTGTGTACAGTACAGTGTGTACACAGTATAGTGTGTATACAGTATAGTGTGTATACAGTACAGTGTGTATACAGTATAGTGTGTATACAGTGTGTATTCAGTGTGTACAGTACGTGTGTGTACAGTACAGTGTGTATACAGTATAGTGTGTATACAGTGTGTATTCAGTGTGTACAGTACAGTGTGTATACAGTACAGTGTGTATACAGTATAGTGTGTATACAGTACAGTGTGTATACAGTGTGTACAGTACAGTGTGTATTCAGTGTGTATTCAGTGTGTACAGTACAGTGTGTACAGTACAGTGTGTACAGTACAGTGTGTATACAGTACAGTGTGTACAGTACAGTGTGTGTACAGTACAGTGTGTATACAGTACAGTGTGTGTACAGTACAGTGTGTGTACAGTACAGTGTGTATACAGTACAGTGTGTATACAGTACAGTACAGTGTGTATACAGTACAGTGTGTATACAGTACAGTACAGTGTGTATACAGTACAGTACAGTGTGTATACAGTACAGTGTGTATACAGTGTGTACAGTACAGTGTGTATACAGTACAGTGTGTATACAGTACAGTGTGTATACAGTGTGTATTCAGTGTGTATTCAGTGTGTATTCAGTGTGTATTCAGTGTGTACAATAGTGTGTACAGTGTGTTCTCACCACGTCCAGGATGAGTGTGTTCAGGTCGAAGTTGGGTTTCTTCTTCATGCTCCGGATGACGCAGCTCTGCACGGAGACGCCTCCGCACTCCACCTGCAGGCTGGGAGAGGAGATGCTGGCCAGCTGGAAGCTCTTCAGGTTACGCACCCCCCACGCTAAGATCTGAGGGGGGGGGGGGGGGGGGGGGGCAGGGAGAGGGTTATTGATCCTAAGCCATTATTTAATCTAAAAGAATGCAGAACAACTCATGAAATATGCTCCAAACTAACAAGGTGTCTCATCTGTTATTTAATTTGACCAAGAATCCAAACCCAAAGATAATAACCAAATATTTGAATCAGAAAATGTTTCCGATGATTAATGATCTTAATAATAATTATAGATAGAATTTGTAAAGCGCCTTTCAAGGGATCCAAGGCGCTACGTGGTGAACAAACAAGATCTTGTTGATTAACTGTCAAAACATAACAGGTCCCTTTCAGAGCTAAACAATTAGCTAATTATTATTATTAACTTTGTGTAAGAAAGAATAGAGGCGAGTTTCCCAAGGTGTGGTACTATGCCTTTACTAGTTTGTGGAGTAAAACACGTAGCAGTAGCTGCTGTAAATGTTTGCTGGTACCTCGATGGCGGTTCTCTGCAGAACCGGTTTGATTCCCTGAGGAACCACGAAGACGTTGGGCTCTCTTTGATGAGGAGGGTGAGGAAGGTCCGACTCGTCCTCCTGCCAAGAGGAACGCAGGACAGGAGTCAGGAAACAAATGGAAACATGCAATGATGTTTACTGCCGGGTATATTAGAAAATGTTTATGAATAACATGTCGAATGAAGTTTTAGAAAGTTACAACCAGTGGTGTAGCTCGTGAACTGTCAACGGGGGGGGTTCACTGTGTGTGGACCTCCGTGTCGCCTGTTAGCGCAACTTACATGATGCCGTTTAGACAATATAATAATAAAGGGCGGTGCCGGCTGCCAGCGAACCGATCCGGCCTTTCTGCGCGACTGTCACTCAAATGCGGGACATAGTCTCAATTTGTGGGACACCTGGTCACCCTACACACACATGGTGCTGGCCCTCACACACACGCTTCAAATCAAGTTGCGTAAATGCTTGAGCTACGTTTTTATTAGAATTACTGTGAAATCTGCCTTTTATGTTTTCGTCATTATTACAACAAATACACGCAACTGATAACGCTGGCAATGATTTCATATTTATTAGACTGTTACAATCCCCCGCGTCCAACGCCCACTACACCACTGGTTAAAACCTATGGAACAAAGGGTTGGAGAGGACATGTTTTATTTGTGTTGTTGGAAAATGAAATGTTGTTGGAGGGTGACTGTATATGATGGATGGTGGTGTGTGTGTGTGTGTGTGTGTGTGTGTGTGTGTGTGTGTGTGTGTGTGTGTGTGTGTGTGTGTGTGTGTGTGTGTGTGTGTGTGTGTGTGTGTGTGCTGCAAGGTGAACATGCAGACATGACACATGGTTTATATATTGATATATCCTTCTGTGTCCTTATTGTACCGCTTGCTGCAGGTGCTCAGAGAGGAATCCTGGAAACATCAACTGAGAAGAAGAGACGAAATAAAGGAAGAGAGAAAAGAAAAGAGAAATCATCACAAAAATATATCTGAAGGACTTTAAGGAAGTTTACTGTTCATACGTGTCATTTTTTTAAGAAGTAAAGTGTTACGATTATTGTGTTATGTCACGTTTTCTATGTCGTGTTTTCCTCTGGGTTTATTGTCTGGTCCTTCTCCCTGTGTCTTCCTCCCGTCGTTAGTTTCCCTGGTGTGTCTAGTTGTCTGATTGTGTTCACCTGTGGCCCTTGTGTTTCTCCTCCCCTGCCCGGCTGTTTCTCGTCTTGTGATTACCCCTCCCTGTATTTAGTCTTGTCTCTTCCTGTGTTCAGTGTCGGTTCGTCTTGTGTCATGACTAGTTCGTCGGTGAGTGTTCTGTTTTGTCTTCGTTTATCACCTAACCTTGAAATAAAGGAACTTTCACTTTGATCTGCATTTGGGTCCTTCCTGCTTCACACACCGTAACATAAAGTCCCATTTTACCAGAGGCCTGTACTACGAAGCTGGTTCAACCTAACCTGGATATGTTTGAGTTACCCGGTTTACCTAATCCAAAACATACGCGCTCTCGCTAAGCGGTCCTACGACGCTGTTATCAACTCGGTAACTCAAGCCAGCCGTGTCCTTTCTAGTTAGGTGCGCGTTCACATGAAAGGGGCGGGGTTAGCAACATTTGACCAATCACAAACATGGAGAAGCGTACTGACAGCGCAGCGTCATACTTCCTGAATGAAAAGTCAACTTTAATATTAGACATATGAAGAAGTTAAACTTTAAACATCCATGACTTAAACACTTGATCCAGGATCAAAGCCACAGAGCTGCACCTGCAAGGTGAATACAGCTGGTAACAGAACAAGTGTTTGAATGCGTACATTAACAGGTTTATGATATCACTGCCCCGTCTAAAACACGATCTGACTTTAATTACATTTGACTCCAGTGTTTCGTCAACTTAATGTGTTGCTTAAAATAATACTTCTGCATCCAGTCTGTGACACTGTGAGTGTTGCACGGCCAGATACGGCTCAGCTGACTCAGATAAGGAGATATATGATACATTATGAAGTGATATGCCGCGGACTGTACTTAATGTTACTCTGATCCGGTTACTTATGTTGTGGCAGATATTTAAGTAAGCTTTCTTAACGCTAATGTTATAATAGTCAGATTGCTCTGAAGACGGAGGTGATATTCTATTAATGTTCACGTTCACACAGTCGGTGATTTTTGCCGGCCGTCTTTCCTGCGACGGCAGCTTTTCTGTATTTCCTTTATCCTGTAATATGACTTGATCGTAGGGCTGTGCAATTAATCGTATTTTAATCGCGATTACGATTATGGCTTGCGACGATTATGAAAACAGCATAATTGACTAAATACGATTATTTAGCTGGGTGCGCTTTCGCTCCTCCCTAAAAGCCCACTCGGCCACGTGGGAGTGACAGGTGTTGTGAGTGTTCAGCGCGAGCGAAGATGTCAGAACAAGAGCAGCAACTCGTTAAAAAGAAGGGTCAAACTATTTCCACTATTTGGAAGTACTTTGGCTTTCAGGAGTCCGACGTGGAGCAAAAGAAAGTAGGCCTACACTGCAGGATTTACCAGGTTGTGTTGGCACCACACGCTAACACAACCAATCTCTTTAATCATCTGAAATACAACCACAAAGTGCAATACGACCGGGCAGTAATACAACAAAAAGCAGATGCCGCTCGACTTCATCCACCACATCATCACAGTCATCGATTCAGGACGCATTGTACAGAGCAACGGCCTACGCGACGAGCTCGCAGAGACACAGAGATATTACAGGTGCCATTACATTTCACATCGCTAAAGATATGTGCCCAGTTAGCACTGTTAGCAACCAGGGCTTTAAGCAACTTGTCAACACGTTGGACAAGCGTTACGCGATGCCGTCTCGGTATTATTTCAGCAGGTCTGCGCTGCCTGCACTATATGACAAATGCCGTGGGGAAGTTGAGAGAGATGTGGCTTCAGCTGACTACTTTGCGACCACAACAGACCTATGGTCTAGCCCAGGGGTGCCCAACCAGTCGATCGCGAGATGTGTCTAAAAATAGAACAACAATATTCTGTTTTATCGTTAATGTCCTGTAACATAATCTTACGTAAAAATCTTTAAGAGATGACATGAGCAGTCCTACCAGCATTTGCCATGGTGGCCTAAACATTTTTATTTAGTCTTAAATTGTAGTTCAACATTTATTTACTTCTGGACCATGACGGTGGGCCAGCCTTCAACGTTTAACTGAGTGGAATATGTTGAATATGTTTTACCAACATGTTGGCTATATGTTAAGGAGTGTTCAGTAGGTTGTGACAGTGCACTGCATCACATTTGATTTCATTTATTTTGGTCTAATTTATTTTTATTTATCATATTAATATATGTTTAGTATGGTTTTGGAAGTGCGCTCCAACATATTTCTTGATCTTGTTTATTGGTAAAATATTATTTGTTTTAAAGTTCAATAAATGGTCAATGAATAATCGTCAAAATAATCGTGATTATGATTTTTGCCATAATCGCACAGCCCTACTTGATCGCTTTAAACTCCGCACACTGAGCTCTGATTGGTCAGCAGGCGGTGCTTTCACTGAGTTGATCTCTTAGCTTGCAACCTAACCTGGTCCCGACCAGGTTAGCCGCTTAGCATAAGTTACCATGGAGATCTAGCCTGCTAAAAAGAGAACCAGCTTCGTAGGACCGGAAACCAGAGTTTTCCCTGAAGTTAGCCGCTAAGAGAAAATCCGGC